AGATACAGTGAGAAACCCCAGCGATAAAAATCTGTAAGATATTTTGGAGCTCTCCGTGAATAAAAATTTGGCATACCAAATATATTTAGCAACTTCAGTTCTTGGCCTAATTGAGAATTAGACCGTCAATAGGAAACTATTTCCTGGACAGGACTGGACTGAAGATACCAACTGTGACAATTAACTGGATACAGAAGTGCCGTTTTACTTAGAATTAAATCTTAAAAAGCCAACATGTTTTTCAAACTAAAAAATCTTGGCTGAGCTAACAGTAATAGCCCACCCTTTCCAGGTACCCATTTTAAGGGCCTCTGTTGTATAAAGAATCCATGAATCAGAACCTTAATTTGTTTTAAATAACCTTAAGCTTTTAAATAAGATATTTTCTAATTGGGAATTTTAGAGGTGTTCAAACTGTAAAAACGGTAGGACAGTCTCCCAGGAAATATTTAGTTGAGGGACAATGAGAGGAGGCGGCACTAACTTTTATAAAAGCTATACCTGAACGTTCGAGTTCGGAGGAAACCCCTACTGTCGGGGAAAGGCATTGGATCCAGGAAAAGGAGCAGTAAGAACCACGTAAGCCCCCTTTCTCAAAAGATACTAGACACAGCTATTACTGAACTGCCTCGAAAGCAATTACATTCTCGGGGTGCCTGGGTGGCTCAGTGGGTTAAAGCCTCTGCCTTCAGCTCAGGTCATGATCCCAGGGTCCTGGGATCGAGCCCCGCATTGGCTCTCTGCTCAGCAGGGAGCCTGCTTCCTCCTCTCTATCTCTGCCTGCCTCTCTGCCGACTTGTGATCTCTGTCAAATAAATAAATAAAATCTTTAAAAAAGTTATATTCTTCATTTATTTTCATGTTCACAAATGGATTAAAATGTTCACAATTATGAAACCATATACATGACATGATTCCATTTTTATTTAAAAATAAGACAGGGTCGCCTGGGTGGCTCAGTCAGTTAAGCGTCTGCCTTTGGCCCAGGTCATGATTGCAGGGTCCTGAGATCAAGTCCCGCATAGGGTTTCCTGCTCAGTGGGGAGTCTGCTTCTCCCTCTCCGCACTACTTGTGTGCTATCTCTAGCTACCTGTCTCTCAAATAAAAATAAACAAAATCTTAAAAAAAGAAAAAAAGACATGTAGGTAGAAAGAAGTTTGAGAGCGTACAACATCAAAACATGAATGGCAGGGGTGGTGATTACTGATGGCATGGTAAGTGATTTTGTATTTTCTTCGGTAATATGTCAGTGGGAATTATAACCAACATTTAAATCACTTGGAAAATAGGATTCATTTTATCCTAAACCTACCAGGGACCTCTTTACTGTAAAAAAGACAAAACTCTTGTAAATGTGTTCCATAAATATACTGTGTACTATTATGAATGATTAAGGCACACTTGCTTTATGGGGTATTTTAAGAGAATTTCTCTGTAAACTAAGCTTTTTGAGAGAAATTATATTTGAGTTTGCTACCTAAATCCTATATCTATTTCCTAATTTATCATGTGAAATCTGGATGTTTTTCTTAAAGTGAGATTTACTTTATTTTTGTTTACTCCCGAGAAAGGAATCCATCATGCTTTGATTTAGGTAACCAAATGATCTGGAATTCCCAGAGTTACTGTAAATGAGATATTATGATTCATACAGCCAATGTTCTATCTCTGTTTTCTGCATATTCATTACACGTAAAATGTAGTAAAAAATTGAAAAGTATGGAAACACATGTCTTTTAAGTATTGATCAGCACAACCCACTGCAGATAGAAACAGCTTTATTTTTTTCATTCAAGATTTATCAAATGGACTGTTCAAAAGGCATACACAAGAGCAAAAAAAATAAAACACATGCAATCAAACTTGTTTTGCTTTAGTCACTGGTTTTCTTTTGGAAAAGAACACACATTTGAATAACTTCTAATTCAAACATTATGTTTCCATTTCATTTCCTTCTTTTCTTTAAAGTTAGCAACCACCAAAACCTTATAGATAACTCGTCATTATATTCTTCCTCATTTTTATTCACACTTAAATATTACAAAGCCTATACAATCAAACCATAGACTGCTCAGATATCTGAAAAGGTTCATTTACATAATAGATTCTGCTATGTTAAGAAACCACACACAAGTGATATTTTGCAAAATGGATAAAAAATAGGATACATTGTCTGAAAGCAAAGCTAAACAGTAATGATTTCTTATCTAAATAATTTTAATCAAATGAATAATATATTCATTTGGTAATAGCCTCTTTTATAGAATACTTTAAAAAAAGTGCTCAGATTACATTTTTAAAAAATAACAAAAATCTCACAGAACTGGAAGAATGTAAATAAAGATGGTGGCCTGGAAAACCTTGATGACATTTCTGCTCCGGAAACAAGGAAGCAGGTAAGCATTTACGTGCATCCGGAAAGGAACTCCAACTCCAACTCTAAGAGCGTGAATGCACAGCTTAAAGCCTTGAAAAGATAGAAACTATCTTTGAAAGGTTCTTGAGTGTCTTTCTTTGGATGAAAGCCATGAACATAAAACCAGATTTCTCAGCTAGACCGCACGGTCACCCAGCCAAGCCGGGTCACTTGCCTTGCTGTCCTTTTCTAGCACGCCATCAGTACTCAGCCAGGATGCCAAAGAACAAATAATTAACTCATTAGGATCAATACACTGTCTCTTCCCCAAAGAACAGCACATGAATACAGCAACAGAGCAAAAGCATCTTTGTGGCCAGTTCTCTCTGGAGGTCCACTGTAGCCAGCCTTGAATGCCGCCCGCAGGGGCAGGACCCTGATTCCCAGACAGGGATGTGATCGATCACTTTGCTCTGAAGGAACCCAAACTGAATTCTACAGGAGGAAACCAGAGTCGTGGTAAGATGTAAGCGTCCGGTTTTCTCTTCACGGGCTACTCAAGAGTTGTGATCTCTAGGGCTGCTATTCCACATACCAGTCACGGAGATAAAGAGGGTGTGATGCAGTTGGTAGCATCAAAAACATTCTGACGCCAAGGGTACCAAGATGCGGCCCTACCCCGCTGACTTTCCTGGTACTCATATTACTCACAACACTTCTGAAGTCCTACTTTGAAATTTCTTTCAAAATTCAGCTATGTCCACAGCACAGTATATAGAGCATAATTCCATGTATATTCAAATTATGTACATATGTGTGTCGATATATAACAATTCTCTCTTTTTCTAGTATGGTAGAATTTCAGATTATATTTTACCTTCTTATTTATAGTTTTATTAATATTTGAACTGCTTACAGTGAGTACCATTTTGTGATTCTAAAAACATTAAGCTATCTTCTTTTTGGAGGAAAAAGAAAAAAATCTACAGATTCTGAAGGCATTTCCAAACAAGAGTCGATCAAATACTCTTGGGAGATGCCTCTGAAGAACAAAATCTCAGAAGAACGCAAAACCCATGCGATCAGAGAAAATGGCTTTCCTCGCTACTCTCACCTCAGTTGGCAAAGTACCTGCATGTGGCAGGTGTTTTACACACACACACACACACACACACACACTCTGAATGAATAAATACACAGTTTATTTGGATGCTGAATTTCTAGACATGTGATTTTTAAAATCATTGTTTAATGATCCTTCTTTTAGCTAAACAAAATTATTTTCTAATGTCTTATCTAAATTCAGTGTATTTAGAAGAAAAGATTAAAACCAGTAGTAGATTTCAAAAGTACTATGTTTTATAATATGGTTTTTTAAAAATATTGATAGAAAACGGGCAAAATGGGGAATGGAATGAACTCAGTGGCCAAGCAGGTGGCAGAAGGCCGGGGGTCAGCTGAGAGGGAGCACAGGAAACTAACCCTCCTCTGTCATTCATCGTCTCCAACACAATTCTGTTCTGTGAACTGATGCGGCTGAGTCCCCCCCCCCCCCCACCCCGCACAGGGCCTGCAACCTTGACCCGGGTGGACAAGGGACATTTGCTGACTGGGTGAGGGGCCAAAAGAAAGTGAGAGGACACGGAGCGAGCATGTGCTGACTCCCAAATCAAAGGGCAAAAAGTGGATTGCTCCACCTCTGCCCTGGAACAGAGGTCAAGATGATTCCTTCTTAAACGTGGTTTGTAGCACAGCTATAAAAGGAGTCAGATATTAACTCATTTTTAATCAATAACTGAAGACAAGTGTCCTGAGTTCTAAAGAGTGAAAAATGTAGCATATAGTTACTTCTGATGGGTCTCAGGTCAAGGCAGGAGCTAACATTTTCCTAAAACAGGCCAAAAAAAAGGGCCCCCAAACAAAAAACCAACAAACCCCCCCCCCCCCATAAAACCTCCATTTCTTCGATTTTTAGAAATAGAACGAATAATACGTGCAACTAGGGTAATCATATTACTTCGTTGTCAAACTGGGATACTTTCGGGTGTAAAATTATTTGAGAGTAATAATTATTCCAGGAAAAAACAATCGTGTGACGACAACAGACATGACAGCACGGGGGCTGTCGTGGGTAAATGATCCTCTGAGGTCCACAGGACCGCCTTTAAGGTTTGTATCTTCTGAGTGTTCTATCAACTACACAACCTTCGGCAGGGATACTAAACACCGAGTGCTCTTGCGAGGAGTCTGGAAGAGGCAGGCCGGCTCCCCACCTTCTTCCGCAGCCCTAGGTCTCCTGGCATCAGCCAATGTCAAACGGCTCTGAGCAAAGTCGGCTGTGACTTCTTGGACCAAAAAAGCACGACGGTGTTTAAACGACTTAAGACCCACCTACTCATTTTACTTTGCAAAATATTAACATGAGACATCGATACCGTATCTTGTTCATAAAACAAACTTCCGGAACGAGAGCCCTCCACGAGGAGGCCAGGTCACGACCCGTTTTCCAAATCTTTACAGGGGCCGGGGATTCTCACGCCAAGACCGCCACAAAATGGTTTAGAAAAGCCATAGAAGAGTCAAAATAAAAAATATCTCATCTGTGGGCAGGCCGGGGGCGTTCCCCGGGCGCGGGCGTGCGTAGGGGTGCGGGGCGCAGGGGGGGCGCGGGGGGCGCGGCCGCCGTCAGTTCCGCAGCAGCAGCATCCGCTCGGCGCACGCCTGCCCCACCAGCCGCGCGTACTGCAGCACCGCCGCCTCCTCGGCCGCCGCCTTGTGCTGCCTCTTGTAGACGCCGTAGGGCAGGATGGCTTTCTTGTGGAACACCTGCAGCCGGTCGGGCTCCTTGCTGCGACCTTCGTCCACTGCAAGGTCAAAGAAGACGCATTAAACCAAGTCATGGTCACGCTACTGTCGCCCCCGAAAGGAACGATAATTCCCGCCGTACGAATGAGGGAGGAAGACGCGTCCTTCAGGATGTCCGAGCGGGACGGCGGGGACGGACACCCGCTGGCAGGAAGACGCCCTCCCCCGGGGGAGCGGGAACGTCAGAGGAGAGCTGTGCGCAGTTAAAACCCGGGCCTTCAACCCGTTGTTTTCTCTGACGGTCGGGTTTGCCACCGTCCTTCCTGGGTCCGAACTGCACGGACTCTGCGTCTCTCCCAGGCCGATGTCCTGAGGTTCCCCGCGCTGCAGCCAAGCTTTCCGTGACTCGGAGGCCTGGGCGAACTGCAGCGGGGCAGGTCCTGGCCCTGGGGCATGAAGGGTCTGGGGGCGGAGGGCAGAGCTCACAGCCCTGGGGAGCGGGACAGGGCAGGGGCGGCTGGTGGCTGTGGCTCCCGGTTCTTCTTCTTTTTCAGATAAGCAAAGCCCTGGCTTCTACAGGACACACCGGTCACCTGGAGGAAAACCTGTGTCCAGCTTCCCCTGCAGTTGGGTCCGGCCCCCTGACCAAGCTCTGGCCCACGGGACACAAGCGGAAGTGTTCTGTGGAAGTTTCCAGGCATCTTTTAAGAGAACAGCTGGTGTGTGCCCTTCAACCCTTCTTCCCTCATTGTGCGGCCTGCATCATGGAAGTCATGGCAGAAGCCCTGACCCCTCTTCTGTCTCTGTCTCTCTTGAGCTTGAGATTAGAAGATTTCCCTTAGGTCAGCAAAAACAAAAGCCAGAAGGAACCCGGGTACCTGAGGACTCCGTGTAACACTCTAGTCCTGGTCTGCCTATGTAAAGAATTTCATAGAAAAATGAAACGATCTTGTTTAAGCCAACGGACTTTAGATTTTTTTTTTTTTTTTAATTTTTAAAAGATTTTATTTGACAGGTGGAAATCACAAGTAGGCAGAGAAGCAGGCAGGGAGAGGAGGAAGCAGGCTCCCTGCTTAGCAGAGAGCCCAATGCAGGGGCCTGATCCCAGGACCCTGGGATCATGACCTGAGCCGAATTAGAGACTTTAACCCACTGAGCCACCCAGGTGCCTCTGACCTTAGATTTCTACTACTGGCAGCTGCTCCTAATTCTAACTAATACACGGAACAACTTTACTATCAATTAAAATGTACCATGTCTTTTATCACTGACTCAGCCAGGTCACTTGTAAGAATCATCCTATAGCTGCGGTTCTCAACCCTGACCACATACTGGAATCATCCAAGGAACCTTTAAGAAATACCAAAAAAGTCCTGGATCCCTCCTCCAGACTATCCTGATTTAGAAACTGGTCTGAATAAAACCTGAGCATCGGTATTTTCTTAAGCCTTTTAAAGTGGGTTGAGTTGGGACACCTGGGTGGCTCAGTCGGTTGAGCGCCCAGCTCTTGGTTTTGAAATCTCAGGGTCATGAAATCGAGCCCCTGCCCCCCTGGCGCTCGACACGGGTCTTCTTGAGATTTTTTTCCACCTCCCTGTCCCTCCCCCTCTGTTCCTCCCCACACTCGCGCGCGTGCTCTCTCTCTCTCTCTAAAACAAATGAATAGATAAAATCTTAAGAAAATAATTTAAAAAATAAGGTGGGTTGAGAACAGAGAAACACACACGTCAGTATTTATATGCGAGCATAAGCGGGTTTAGAGCCACACTCAGCGGTACCGAGGACCTGGAAACAACGCACGGGTTCACCAACGGAGAACTGGCCAGATGTGTTAAGGTACAGGCATGTGATAAAATGCTACACAGCGATCAAAAAGACAAAGGAAGACAGATTGTTAAGTGGAAAAAAAAAACGGAGGCACAAGGTAAATTACTGTTCTTTAGAAGCCCAGTATGTGCACACAACAGATCAGAGCGAATCCACATCAACCTTTGTACAGTTACTTCTCTCCATTCCCTTTGCCTGGAAAGACCCTTTCTTTCCCCCAGAAAAAACCCGGCTCACCCTCCTGCTTCCTCAGATGACGTCAGCGGTTGGCTCCTCAGAGGGTCTTCCCGGACTCGCTATAAACCAGCGCCCTGGCTCCCCTTGAGCTCCTTAACTGCCTTCATTGCACTGACTACCACGTGACATACGTAGTTATTGCGTGTTTCCTTTTCCACTAGAAAGTCCTATGTGAATACAAATTAAATGAAGCATTGTGACTGTTTTGCCCACTAATACTTCCTCGGTGTCCAGTACAACGCCTGATGGCAGGTGCTCCATACATACTCGCTAGACGAATGAACGAGTCTACCTTGGGAGGCAGGAACATGACGGGAGACTTTCACACTGTGGGAAACACACACGCATACACATACTCTCCTCATTTCTTGGATTTTCTATAATTGGCATAAGGCTTTTATAATTTTAAACAGTTGTTTTTAAGGTTGATTTAGGCATTTAAAAAAATTAATTTGGGTTGGGGCGCTTGGGTGGCTCAGTTGTTGGGCATCTGCCTTCGGCTCGGGTCATGATCCCAGGGTCCTGGGATCGAGTCCTGCATGGGGCTCCCTGCTTGGCGGAAAGCCTGCTTCTCCATCTCCCACTCCCCCTGCTTGTGTTCCCTCTCTCCCTGTGTCTTCTATCGATTAAATAAATAAAATCTTAAAAAAAAATTAATTTGGGTCTTCTGAAACTGGAAAGTGGAAATGTTAGTTTCCTTTTTAACAAAAGGATTCTTTTAGAAGATTTCTCAGGATCTTTCAGCTATAAACTTCTTCAAGTCAAATAAAAGTCATCATAGTTTCACAATAGAGTTGCTATAAATTCAACATTTTATTGGGCATCTCACAGAAGGCTCTATGTTTTTAAACATTTGAACTGAATTACATCCCTTTTTATTGTGAAATTGAAGCAACAGTTAAATGTTTATTCTTCCTCAACTGAAGCTGTTTCTTCTACTGGGTATTCATTAATTAGTCTGGATTAATCATCCAACATCAGTTTCAGAAGAGACAGAAGTCTAACTACGCTTCCGATATCTAAAACACAAAGAGACATCACATTTCTGGACTCAGCATAGGCCAGCTGATCTCAATCATCAGAAAGTGATAAAACGAGTTAGGGCATTCCAAAATTATACTCTACATCTATTCAGAAATTTGTTAGAGGGAGATGCAAGCTCATCATGTACTATTATCCCAAAAGAAGTTCTCCATTGTCAGAGAACACCACATGGGCCCACTGAGAACCCTACGTGGGAAGGCGCGCAGGTATGAAGGAAAGGGGACACCAAGGATGCCAGCCAGAGGGTCTTCATATCCTCAGAACCAAGTGCTGGTGTAGTTTTAGATTGTCACGTTACCCGGGATACATTCGGGGGAGATCAAGGTGAAGGGGGACAGAATCTGGAGAGGCAGGGATCCAACCTTTCACTACTTGATTTATCTCCAGCGCCATGCCTGGGCCTGTCTGCCCTCCCTGCTTCTACTGCTTGGCTCTGCGCTGCAGGAGGCTGGACCTGGGGGTGCGGGGAGACGGAGCCAGGGTTTCTCCCCCAAACCTGGCTTCTTTCTTTCTTGGCTCTGCTTTTCGGCAGCAGCTCCAGCTATGCTTGAAGTGGTTAAGGTTCCAGCTTCTAGTGGTAGCCCTGGGGTGGTGCAGGGGTGGCCCAGAAGAGGCAGTGGCTTCCAGCTGTCACTCATCTCTGGGTCACTCTGTGCCTTGCCCAGCTCTCAGCAGCACCACTCTCTGTTATCACCGATTCCCTGCATTAAATGTTCACTGTTGTAAGTACCGGAAGTGGTTTTGGTGCTCGGGTTGAACATACCGACTTCAAAATTTGTGTGTTCAACAAATTACTTTGTCCAGCTGAAGCAGGAAACCCACATACTTTAACACAATGAAATACTTTGTGTTTGCTAGGTTTCCACACCCCTTATTAGGATAAGTGACAACGGAAAAGGGCAATGTCCTGGTTCCTGATGTCAGCTCTGGGAATTTTTATGTCCATATACTGCAACACAAACAACTAACTCCATCACCTGGGTATAAATGCAGCAGAAAAAAGGTAGGCTCGAGTACATTTAGAGCCTCATACAAATAGAAAACTGGTAAAGGTCACTGAGAGCAGCCAAGGAGCAAGAACACTGGTAAAACTGTACAATATCTTCTAAATCTAAAGCCTTTGAATTTTTTAAATTGGAATTTTAAAGTATGTCTGCTGAGAGACAGCAGCAGAAAAATGTTCCCCTTTAGCCCCGAAGGCTGACCTCCAGCCTGCAGAGCTCTGATAAGGATCGAATACGTGCCGGTCACTACATTCTTAAAGGGTCTCATGACTGCCTGTACATCTCACCGATAGTTAACATCCAGCTGAATGATAAGCACTGGAGAAACGCTGCAGAAGTAGTTTATGAGTAGAAATTCACAGGGATTTATAATCTCATACTCCCTGCACAGACCCTCCACCTTGAGCACTAAGCACGTAACCAGCAGCTTCCTACAGCAAACACACACCTCTTCCTGCCGGGCCCCGTCCCAGTGCCTTTAGAGCAAATACAAATTCACTTTTCTTTGCCAAAGGTCTCGATCTGGAAATGTGTCCTCTTCCCCATTCTTGGCCTCAACCCGATCTGCATACAATCGCTGTAAATTACAACATCTCCTGCAATCCATTTTTTTTTCCCCACTATTTCCTTTCTACTCCCTTTCACAAAAGCTTAAGACTGCCTTCGGACAGAAACAAACAAAACTCTGTAGTCTCTGTTTACCCTCCAGCTAGTTCATTCCACTTTTCTCTCCTTCTTTAAAGGATATTTACTTAATGGCCACTTCCTCGCCTCTCACTCACTGAACAATCTATTGCCATGTGTGTCTTGCTCCATCAAGCCCACTCTGCTCACTAAGGTCAAAGGTCTCACTGCTCTTGAATATAATGAACACATTTCAGCTTTCATCTCCCTCAGCAGAGTGTAAACTTAGAGGAGCACGTCCTCTTCCCTGAAATCCACTCCAG